GCGGCTAGCCATAATGACATAGTGGCATAGGGTAGCCTGTTCTTGAAATGAGTGTGTCAACTGCAACTGCAAGTTTCGCCCTTTCTCCCTTCCGCCAGGTGAACACGCGATGTGCCAAACTTTCTGGTTGGCAGGCATGGGCCCTGGACTTGGACCGCCATTGTGTTGTTGATGAGCCGCTTTAAACAGATGTGGAACTTGACACAGTTAGTTTGGAGCCCATAACGACTATACACAGTGACCGAAAGAGGTTTCTTCAGGATGCATGGCTGAAAACCACCATACGAACTCATTAGACAAAGGAGGGCGCTTAATCCTAACTCTGGAATTTCCAGGTGCAGGATAGTTCCCCTGTAGAGTTGGCAGATGTCTTTCAACCCTGGGGGGCCCTGATATAGGCCAAAACTCACTGATGTCAGTCAACTCTGGGGGCTGAAACTCCCCAGCGAAAATAGGCAGATGTCAATTCAGCGGTTTTCCAGCTCCCCCAGAGTTGACTGACATCTGCCAACTCTGGGGCCCAAAAAGCTGTTGGGCTCAATTTCTAGAGTTGTGTTGAGCGGATCGAGCTGGATCCAACATGTCAAAGCGGGCGGCTTCCGGCCCTAAGCGGGCAACCAAGCAGCCCAAGCTGGCGGAGGATCTCACGAACCACCCGTGTGTGCAGTTTTTGCAGTCAGCGGCTGTAGCTCTCGCAACTGAGTTCAAGGACAGTGCGTCGTAGAGTGATCACTGACACATACGATTAACCATGACAGTGTTCTGTCTGTCTATTTGTGAACATCCTGCGGTCAGAAGGAAGTGGTGCAGAAAGATGCGATGGATGCTGGAGGGGTGGGAGCCTATGATGCCAGCGAGTACAAGCGCTGGATCAAGAAGAGCGGCTACTATGAGTGCAATGTTACTATTGGTAGCTTCGATTGTCTTCGCTTCGCCCATGCAGCGATCCCACCTGCTCTAGGACTGCGCATGCATGCTGAGTAGTGAAGGAGTGCTAGCGTGACCATGTTAGCAGGGGCTTTGCGTACTGTCGCTGTAAATTTGCTGCTTGGGCTATGCTGGCAGGATCAGTCCGCAAGCTTGCCACAACCAGGTATCAGTCGTCAAATGATGGCGGTAAGCCTGTATGGATGGCAGGCGGTGCGCTGGAAGTCATTAGCGTCCGCGGCTCCTCTTCTTCACCCGACTTGAAGAACCTGCAGCCACTCAATCGTGATCCAGACAGGATTGCGTTTCTTTACGCATGGATGCAGGCGAAGGAAGCCGTTCAGGCTGGCGCCCAGGATGCCAGCACCTTGAAAGGTTTCCTTCTTCAGGCTCGCTGCATCCGCGTTTCTATACAGCAAGGGCTTGCGGTTGCGTCTTCAGGTCTGCCTAGCTGGCAAAATCGAAGTGACTAGTTCCTGAGCCACATGAGGTTAAGTTCCTTGACCTTCCCACGGACGATCAAGTGGAGCGCAAGAAGTTTGAACTTGCGCAAGAAGTCCGAGATGAAGCTGATGTGCTTGTCCTCCAGGGCTTCAGGCAGATGAAAGCAGTCGCTTTCGTACGCGACTTTCTGAAGAACCAGGGCAAGGGGTACAATGAGGTTCAGATGGAGACATGGTCACTCGTCTTTTGCAGGGTGTTTTTGTGTTCGGCGTGTTTACCCCTAAGAGACCGTGCTCATACGCGCTGAGGTTTGGATCTCAGGTGAACCTCAAGGCGGCAAAGATCAAAACGATGCTTCGTGTCTATGACCGCATTGCTGATGTGCAGGGTGCTGAGCTGATCATAGCTTCTCTTGATGATCGCTTTGGGAGCCAGCATTGCTTCAACAACCTTATGACGCTCGAGCTCCTCACGGCTAAGACGGCCCTCCCAAAGAATGTGCCGCTTCAGCGTGCTCTTCTGTTGTGGACTCTGGAGCCCCTTGGTTGAGATTCCTTCTTTGCGTGGTTGGAGGTGGTGGGCTTGCCCATGTGCGTCCTGGGATTCAGCTTGATAATTCTCAACCTGTGCGCGCTGGTTCTAACTTGATTCTGCTGATCTCTCAGAGTACGCTCTGAATTTCTTACTCCAACGTGGTGGGCCCAACCAATTAGGTTGCGAGGCGATGGTTTGCAGACCGATTCCGCATAAAGCTCATGTAGTAATTCCAGCGACCAGCCCGCTGCGGCCATGGTCGCTTGTGCGGGTCCCAAACACCTCAAGATAGACAATGGCAACCCACGCTACATGTAGCATTGGTTGGCGTCTCGTCTATCATTGGCATCATTATGTTAACAGCTAAAAATTCGAAACATCGCGTGGGTTCACAAGCAAGATGCAAATCCCATAGGCTCCACAAAGCTTTCGGCTAGCTGAGGCCATTGTGTAGTTTGGACATCTTATTGGATTGTGGATGAGGGCTACATTGTGCATTGCTAGCCAGGTATGTGAGTTATACAGGTCACAGCTTTTAACTTTCTGTAGCAATGTACAGTCAACAACTCGGCTCCCCATTTGTGCTTGAGCCCAGGTATCCTCGCGTCTGATCTTTCAAGATGCGTCAACGTTTGCTGAGCATTGTAGTTCTTCAGGTTTTTTGACAGTGGTGTTGACGTGTCAGGGCTTATCTCGCATCCAATGATCTAATGGTAGTGTGTTCAACGGCTGTTCCTGCGCCGTCAATGATTAATATATGTGTTAAGGTTTGAGCGGCAGCACATGCGCCGCATAAAGGTTGTCATGAGAGTTGTGGTAGACACTTTCAGAGACATTGTTCAAATCCGACTGCGCAAGCGGCTCCATTTTCTCCAACTTTTGAGAGGGTCACGAACTCAGTCCTCTCTCTGAGCGTAACACTCAGCCTCTCCAAGATTTCTTTCATGTCCAATACTTAATAAGCAATACCAACACCACCCGGTGATTTTGCATTATAGTCAGCAACCTGTAGGTTATGATATGCTTCAACAACAAAAAACGTCCCAGTCCCAGGCTTGTCAGCCAAGACATTCTTCAGGATCGCTGCGACCCCAAGCTGACCAAAGAGGGCGTCACGGCAGCTATTGCCAGGGCCTTGGTCAAGCGTCGCTTGACAAACTTGTTCGCTACAAAGCTGAAGGGCGAGGATGTCAAGGGGGAGACATACCAGCCCGGGTATGCCCCCTCGCAGGTGTTTTCCACAATCTTTTCTAGCATGGCTGCTTTCCGAGCAACAAAGTTGCATGAGACAGCATACACATCGTTGTCATGGGTGAGCCAGTTGCCGGCTTGGCAGGTTGAGGTGCTCCAGTTTGGAGCAAAACTGCTGCGAGGATCTCCCGCGGTCGATGCGCAGCTTGACCAGGTGTTGGCCACGGACCCACTGATCCCTGCAGAGGCCTTATTCCAGTCCGACTTGTGGCAGGAGGGCAAGCTTTTTGATTTCAGGGACATGTTGGAACAGAGGAAGGCTGCCATGCAGCCTGCTCCAGAGCCAGAGCCCAAGGTGCAGGAGCCAGAGCCCATCAAAGAGGTTCAAGAGACCGAGGCGAAGAATCAAGACACGTCAGAAGAGCCAGAGGCGATGCCGCAAATCATGGCTGATGTTGAAGAGGACGAGGCAGGGCATAAGTGCGTGCCTCAGAAGGTGGATCGTTTGGCCAGCTTCAATCTGCTGGAGCTCCCGACGGATGTGGTCTCGGTCCTGCAAGGTGGAGATGATAACTACTTTGAGCAGGTTCTTGACTGGGCGAGGGTTCGTGTGAACACGTTCGTGGATTTGGAGGTTAAAGCCAGGAACTCCACTGGGAGGCGCCAGCAGGTAAAGGAACTCTATGAGCGTCATGGTGGGACTCCTTTCTTCATCATCTATGACGTGAAATGCCGGCTCCACCTGAAGGACGACCTGATTTCCCATCCCTGGAAGCGCCCGACGCCGCTCAATTCGAACGACTTCAAGTACTGGCTCTCAGCATTCTGGTTGGATCCAAAGTTGACGCTTGCTTTATCTAAGTGTCATTGACTGTGTGCATGGTTGGTTCTTCCAACCTTGAAATCGTGCCATGAGTGCTTGTGTGGCATAGTGTGTAAGTGCAGCGGCGAGCTAAGGAAGGATAAGGCAACTCCCCTGTTCCGCTCCCAGGACGTCTTTGTGGCGATGGACGGGAGGTCGCCGACAAATTCGGATGCCATCTGCAAGGCGATCACAGGTGTCTTGAAAGCCGTTGACTCCATGCCTAAGCGACTCTTCACTGTGCTGCGCAGGTCGTATACAAACATAGAATTCGCTAAGGGTGGCTATGCCGCCCCAAAGCGAAAGTCGTCGCTTCATCCGCAGGCCCCAGACCCGCTAGAGAATGCGTACATCATAGTCACGAAGGAGTTCGTTATGCCACACAGAGAGTCTCCGGTGCCGGCTGTGGTTTTGGACAATTTCTGTCGGGGATGGCAAGGCATGGACATGAAATCGCGAATGGATCATGGCTTCACCATGGTCTCGCCAAGTGTCCACCAGAGCTTGCAGAATGCGGATGAGAAAGACAACGAGCCTGAGGTGAAGACCGAGGATGGCAGGTCCCTGATGCCGCCTGCCAAGGGCGATGGTGAAGACAACGCTGAGGCTGGGCAGGCCCCGTTGCAGGGCGAGGTCCAGGATGAGGGCGGCAATGCAGCCAAGCCTGACAACGTCCCCTTGGCGCCGTGGGAAAACTCCGAGCTGCACAGTGCCT